AATCCATGGTGAGAATTGATTCATTAGTGCCTTTTTGTTTTTTTTTTTCCAAACCCGAATTGATGGTTTTTAGTGCAAGGCCAATTGAGAAAGCTATTTCTTGTTTCAAATAAGTAATTTTCCTCTCACACTTTGGGGAAAGAAGAAAAAAATAATAAACACTAGTATTTTCTAATATTTAAATTGATTGTATGAAAGTTTTAAAATTTTACTTTTAAAAAAATTGTAGTTTTAAAAATCATTTGTTTTCTTCAAAATTTTCTTGTGAACGATTTAGATATTTAAATTTTAATTTATTTTTTTTGTCAATCAACAATAAATATAAGTGTTTACATCTAAAAATAAACAATAAGTTACAGTTAAATTATCAAAATAATATTTACAATAACATGAAAATAGACAAGTCCAAGTCCAATTCCATTCTCTTTATATACAACTGAACTCAAAACAAATGCAAAAATTTTTGAGAGATTTTCCTCTATCACCTGTCTATGGAACAACATGATATATAACTTGTATAAATCATTTTAGGAATGAAGGGAGACCTTAAATATCAATTCAAATCATTTTAATGCTCGACTCTATTGCTTCCCACCATTGATCCTCCTTAAGTCCTTAGTATAATTCAAGTTGGGGCATCCTCAAGTTCCAAAGGACAAATCAGCCACAGGAGATAATTGTCCTGCTTTGCTACTATTGTTGCTTAAGTTGATTCTTCAACTGTCTCCAGCAAAAATCTTGCATATGAAATCCCGGAAGCGTTTTGAGTATTGCTTTGGGTCCACAGCTGAGATGGAAGTTGGATCGTAATGTATGGATTTGTATGCATGCTCAAGCTTCTTGGTAATGTCATAGTCTTGAAGAATGTCTATGATACCAAAGAACATTATGACTTCGTAATACTCCCCAGTTGGTTCTCCAACCAACTGAAATTCAGAGTCAATTCTTGTTACAGTTCTTTCTGCATGTGCTGGCATGTTAATACCCAATTTTATACTGGGCCAACTGCAATTTTCTTAAAGATAATGCAATTAAAATCAAAAAACAAAAATTCAAAGATCATGCACCATGTTACATGTATTTTAGCTGGATACTTGTTGAAAAGTTTAGATTGAAATGCAAAACCAAGATTTACATGAAGACATTTACCTTTTAGGAACTTGAAGAAGCTGATCCATATCTGCTCCAGAAATATGGGGACTTGTGTCCCTATCAGGACTTCCTGCAATAAAGGAAAGCAAAATATATTGACTAAATAGTACTAAGACTTTAATTTAACCTAATTGGTGTTGGAGGGTAGAAACTAACCAGTTTTTATTCTAGAGGCAACTATCTCTCCATTAGTTGAGATTTCTCTGAAGTGAAGACCCACCAAAAGACTATAGTCCATAATTCTCTCTTGTTCAAGAAAGTCGCAATCCCTATCTACTTGCCTATGTGGAACAGAATACATACGTTTGAGAAGATAGATGAACGTAAATAAAGAATGACAGACATGCTCTATTTTGGCTTAAATTGAAATGCAGTGGTGAATAAATCATTAAAGGGGAAATTAAGGGAGGAAGAAACTATATTTCACCTACTAAACTCTTGAAACCGTGCCTTTTGTAGTCTGAATATGAAATTAAGGTCAAGGTCTTTAAGAATAATGGTATCATCCATCTCACTCTCTGGCTTATCTGTTATGCGGCCAAGAGAAGAACCTTTCAAGTCGAAGCGCCTATGGATGGTGTATTCAGAACGTAATAGATTCCCCATTATAATGAACCGAACCTGGATAACCAAGTATATGCAATTACATGCATTCTTTCAAAAATTTCTAAAAAAGGCCTAGATGGAATGTGTAGTAGTGTTTGCTTGTCTACCTTCTTCTGAGTTGCACCGGTTAGTCTTACACAATGCAAACCATAATACTTGATCACCAAAGTGTTCTCAAAGGCTCGGACATGGTTGTAATAGGCTGAAAGCATTCTCAAGAGCACCTGTGGCAGAAAACCAGGACATTGTTGTTTTATGGCAACTAGCTTTGTTTTCAAACAATTGATATCTGGGCATGAAGATGTACCAACTTACTTTTACTTCTGCCTTCTTCATTGTCTTTATCATGTAACGATCATCGTTGGTCAAGTAAAAGAAACTACCACTTTTCCCAGGTGAGGATAGCAGCCGTAGGGCATCATTCCCACATATGGATATCATATAATCAGCTGGATCTACCTTGAATAACTTCCTCAGAGTCCTTAAAACAAATGTTCATAAGTGGTTAATAGCATCTAAAATTCTCGCCTTCCATCAAGCACAAAGTACTTAAAATGAAAAAGGGTCCATTTATCTTAAGGTTTTAGAAGCAAGGCTGCTTGATTTACTGCCTCACCTAAAAACTACAGGGCAATAATCCTTCCATTTAAATTCAGTAGACTGGTGCGGTGGAGTGTATTTTGTTCCTTCGGGAGGAAATCTGGTCCATATTTTTTCTTTGGGATCAAAAGCTGAAGCCTTTAGATCGAGGGATGTAGCTGGAGCAGGCCTTCCAACTGAATGCCTGTGTAACACCACAGCCAGATAGTCATTCTTATTTAACAATCAATCATATACCAGCTCATTCAAGCTTACAAAGATTGGAATTCAAACTATTCTTGGTTCAATATAGAAAAATGTAGAATTGAGTGATATAAATTGATACACCAAGCGTAAGGAATGGTTACCTGATACCTAGCTGCAAATTGAGCATAAGATCAAAGTTCTTGTGTCCTTTGGAGATCGTTTCTCCTTGTCTTTTCCCCGGCTTTAGCACTCTCAAAGGCAAGCTAGGATTAAACTTGGGGTTGTTATCATCATGGTGTAAACCCAACAATTCACCGTCCATATCCTTCCTCAAATCACTAACATCATTACTATCTCCATCACTTTCCCACATACTCATTTTATCAAATGCCCTTTCTACACCCACGCTGACCCTACCATCAACCGACACACTCCTAGGCTTCTCCACACCTTTGGTTGAATTCCAAATCGCCAATCTCTTCTGTGATGGCAGGATGGAAACCTTTTCCCCAGGACAAACCCGAGAATCAGATAATTCAAAATTGTACACATTTTGAGGGCTCCAATCCAAGCTCGCAGCCGGGGAGTTGGACCCTGACAAGGATGGGCAAAATGTTCCATTTTGTTCATTTGGATCCTTATTCCAATTCCCCACATAGAAAGCACCACCAGGCCATTTGTATGTCCCATTGCCCTTCGGAACCCCATCTTCCCAACATCCATCATATCTATTCCCATTCCCCCACACAAATACCCCCTTTCCATGCATTTCTCCATTCTTCCATTCTCCATCATAGTGATTCCCATTACTCCATTGATATCTCCCTATTCCTTCTTGCAACCCACGTCGCCATTCCCCATTATAGCAATCTCCATTAGCATAATTCCTCACCCCATGGCCATGTTTTAAATTCATCACCCACTGACCCCTATAAGTATCCCCAGTTCGTCCATTATACGTACCTGTTCCATCCATGTACCCACTCTTGAATTCTCCCTCATAGGTAGCACCAGCCGGCCAAGTGAACCGTCCTCTTCCCATCGTTTTCCCCTTATACCACTCTCCGACGTACATACACCCGTCCGTCCATAGGTACTTCCCATGTCCGTTGGGGAAATTATCATACCACTGCCCGGTGTAGTAATCCCCATTGGGCAAAATTTTCTCCACATAGTACGGTTTATCGGCGCTGTGCTCCCTATTATCATCCTCGTCGTTGTCATTGTCCTCATCCGCATGCGCCACCAATGTCGTCCCAAAAATACTGTTAGCGCGCTTTTTTGCCGCCTGGGTTTTCCTCACTGTGGCCTCCCACGCCCTCATGACGCTGTTATGCTCCCTGTTCGTCATCCTCTATAATGGAAATGCAATTCCTCTCCAAATTAACATTCTTTCAGAGAAATCATGAGTACCAAGATGAAAAAAAAAAAAAAAACCATAAACACTAATCCCAAATGAAAATTATTAATTTTCAATTCACTTTCTCTCTGATTCCTGAGAAACAAAAGGAAAATTAAAGAACTACTTTTTCCTATGATTTCTTCCGCTATCAAATTAAGGTTATGGTTACAAATCACTTAAAAACAAATTTTTTTTAAAAAAAATTTATAGGGTGATGTTTATTGTTACATATTAAGACCGAAGAATTTGGATGAAACAATAAAAATAAATTTATAAGAAAAATGTTGGTTTGATTGATGCGGAAACATGAATTTTTTTCGAACGTTTTATTGTGTTTTTGTGGTTATTCAAAGGGATACTTGTTCGTCTCCTACGAGTCTACAACCTTGCATTGTGACAGTTGGAGGGACGCCATTAATTTCTTAAATTTCTATTTTTAGACCTTTGCAAAATTCATGAGTAAAATTTAAAAAGGTAACATAGATTAAGGGTTTATTTGTTACGGTGACTAAAATTCAGCAGATAACAGGTAGCGGATAGCAGATAACGGATAGCGGTAGCGGGTAGCGGATAGCAAGTGGTGGTTAACGGATGGCGGATGATGGATAATGGATAACGAAAAATGAGTAGCGGATGGTAAATAGCGGATTCAATAAATATAATTATTTAGACGTACAATAATTAGCGGTTGTTGTTTAACATTAAATGACTAATAAGGA